AGCACGAGGGGAGCGACGAGTAGCCCAAGAACGAGACGGAGGAGAAGAGGACAAGGGCGGAGAACTGGGGAAAACAGCGGGGGAGGAGTCAGGAGGAGGAAACGTGGGACCGTAGACAGGAGGAGAGGCGGAGGAGGGAGGAGAAGGGGAGGGGAGACCAAGGATCCGAAGACCCGAGACAGGAGGAGGAAGTGGCTGCTGCTGCTGCGGCTGCGACTGCTGCTGCTGCGGGTCCAGCTGCTGCTGCTGCTCCTGCGGCTCCAGCTGCTGCTGCTGCTCCTCCAGCCGCTGTAACTCCCTCTCCTCTCTCTCCAACGCCAGCTGCTCATCACGGGCACGGCGAACACGAGCCTGGTGCCTAGTCGGGTAGGGGTGGGGGGGTGGAGTAGTGTCCGAAGCAGCGGCAGCTCCAGAGTCCACCCCAGAAGAACTAGGCGCACCACCCCCAGAGGCAGCACTAACACCAGCTCCAGACCCACGCTCACCTGAACCCGAAGGAGGCGCACCCTCACCCCCAGACGCAGCACCCCCAGTGTCCGCGCGGCCAGCACCAGCTCCCGGACGACAAGAGTCCTCTGCACCCACCGGGTCAGCTCCAACTCCAGAACCAGAAACTCCAGCTCCAACCCCAGCTCCAACTCCAGCACCCCTAGAACCAGAAACTCCAGTGCCAACTCCAGCTCCAACTCCAGCACCCCCAGAACCAAAAGCCGGTACAGGAACAGGCGCCGCACCAACCTCTCGAGAGCTAGCACCAGCGGCACGCTGCGAGGAGGACTGTGGGGAGGGAGGCTGTACCGGAGGGGCTACCGAAGGAGGAGGGGTAGCCTGGGACACACCTGACGGGGCTGGACCAGGGGGGGGAGGCTGTACCGGGGGAGCAGGAGGGGGAACGGCAGTCAGGAAGAGGGGGGGAGGAGGAACCGGGAGACCTCGACTGGGGTACCTGACGTAGTACGGAGTGGACTCCTCGAAACGGACGTCACGGGAGTCAAAGAACCGGTGAGAGGGAGGGTGGTAAAAGGTGAAGTCAGAGGAGTCCTCAGGGAAACCAAGGAAGACACAGGGGACGGCACGAGGCGAGAGCTTGTCCGCGGAGGTGTCGCGGACAAGAGCCAAGCACCCCCAAACACGAAACCGCGACGCAACACCAGGGGACCCTGTCCAAAGACTGGTCGGTGAAACCTCTGGTCGAGAGACACGTGGCCAGAGGTTCAGCTGGTGCGCGGCGTACCTGACCGCGTAGGGCCACAGAAAATGGGGGGCACAGGCGTGAGTCAGGGAGGTGCGGGCGATCTCCATGACCAGGCCTATGCGGCGCTCAGCAACCCCATTCTGCTGTGGGGACTCTGGAAGCGTCCAGGACTGACGAATGCCCTGCTCGCGACAGAATCCAGCGAGAATGCCGGAGCGAAACTCACCCCCACGGTCGGAGTGGAGACAGCTGACACGACGACCACGAGTGTCCTCAGTGGTGAGCAACCACCTGATCAGCGTAGAAGTCACCTCAGACTTCTTCGCCAGAGGGAACACTGTGGTGTAGCGGGAGAAGTCGTCAACGACCACCAGAAAGTAACGCTCACGCTCAGGGCCTAGACGAGGGGCTGGGCCCCAGACGTCCAAGTGAAGCGTCTCAAAAGGCTCGGTGGCCGGACGAAGGGAGGAGGAGTGAGGGGTGGCGCGCAGCCTACCCTCGACGCAGGGACGACACGGCGGCGCAGGCGAAGGCGGCAGCGACGGCAAGACACGTGGGAGGCCTAGGACAAGACGCTGACTAGACATAGCGCGCAGACGTGGAAGGGACGGGTGCCCCATCCGGTGGTGCCACAGAACGGTGGGGTGGGCAAGCGACCGGCAGGAGCACGACGCAGCGACTGGAACAGACGTAGGAACCTGACACGACACAGACACCTGGGGGGACGTAGCAACCTGGTGAGACGCGGGGACCCGAACGGGGGGGGGAACCGGGGGCAGTGGCAGTAGGGGGGGCTGCTGGTGCGGCCGCTGGTGCTGCTGCTGCTGCTGCTGCGGCTGCGGCTGCTGCTGCTGCTGCGGCTGCTGCTGCGGCGCACGCGGGCCAGTGTGAAGAGTGTAGAGACCCGAGCCCGGCTCAGTAGTAAAGGTAGCAAGAGGCTGGTAAGAGTCTCCGTCAACACACACCGCAGTCTCTCCAGAAGGCTCAAACCACACACCCACGTGCTGACTCACGAGGGGTCGCACGCCCACCAAGTTCCGGGAGAACGAGGGGACGTGAAACCCAGTGAGAGACCCGGAGGGAGCAGCAGGACACGGTAAAGTGGTAGTGTGACGTGCAGTGACTCGTCCCATAGTGGGATCAGCCAACGCTACAGAAACAGGCGCAGGAAGTGGTGTAAGTGTCGTGCTGTTCCGGAAGAAGCAGTGGGAGGCTCCAGAGTCCAGTGTGAACGACAGCGAAGCTGAGGTAGTCGCTGGTCTAGAGTCTACACAAGTACCTACACTAGCAACAGGCAACTGAGCAAGACTAGCACCTAAGCTAACAACACCAGAGTAAACAGAGTCAGAAACACTAGAGTCAACAACAGCATACATAGCATGAGGAGCACTAATCAGATCAACTAACTGCTCAGCAGACATGCCCCACAGAGCGGAGCCGTAGCGCTGAACCAGAGGAAGCCAGTCAGGAGCAGGACCGCCAACCCCGTAGGTCAACCGGACCGTGTCAGTGAGCTGAGCAAAGCACTGACCAGGGGGGTGAAAGCGGCCACAAGGGTGGCCCCGACGAGGACCTGTCTGAACCTGGTAGGGGCAGGGAGGGTAAGCAGCACCGCGCTGGGGCTGACGCAGCCCCGACCCCGGAGCCAGCTGCTGACGCTGCTGCTGCTGAGGCTGCTGGGAGGAAAGGGGCTGCTGCTGCTGCTGAAGGTGCTGCTGACGCTGAGCCTGGTACCACGCCGCTGCTCCACCTAGCGGGGCCGGCAGTACAGGAGGCGACTGACGAGCTCGAGGGTCGCCGCCACCAGCAGGTGCAGTGGAGTCACCAGCCGCTGCACGAGGGGTCTCTCCAGACGCTGCACTCCCACCACCGCCAGTCGCAACAGCACCCCCACTACCTCCGCTACCTCCGCCTCCACCTCCACCGGAACCACCTTTCTTGCCCCCCCTGCCGCGGGACCGCGACGCAGTCGTAACAGCAGCAGCCACTTCCTCCTCCTGTCTCGGGTCTTCGGATCCTTGGTCTCCCCTCCCCTTCTCCTCCCTCCTCCGCCTCTCCTCCTGTCTACGGTCCCACGTTTCCTCCTCCTGACTCCTCCCCCGCTGTTTTCCCCAGTTCTCCGCCCTTGTCCTCTTCTCCTCCGTCTCGTTCTTGGGCTACTCGTCGCTCCCCTCGTGCTCGTCCCTCGTCTCCTGTTCCCTTCACTGACCTTCGTACTGCCTTCCTTCTTTCTAGTCCACCTCGTCTGTCTCAGTCTGTGCTTCCGTCTCCTCCTGAGTCGGCCCTCACTGTGTCGCTCCCTACTCCTGTCACTGACTACTACCGCATGTACCGTCCTGTTCTCTCTCGTGTTCTCGCCTCTCTTGTTACTCACCCTCGTGTCTCTGTGTCCTCTGTGTCCGCTCTTACTGCCGCGGTTACTGACTTTGCCTCTACCCGCCGCCTTGACTACGCCACCACGCTTGTGACTGCTCCTCCTACCAGTCCTCTGGTCGTCGGGGGTGTGTCTGCCCTTGGCTGTGACGCCCTAGAGGACAGGCAGTTTGAGCTAGAGTTCCTGGCGGCCGCTTCCCCTCATCTCTGTGCCATGCTCCTCGCCCCTGAGGGTGACCCCGACGCCCTTGACATTCCGACTCCTCGCACTTACGCTGAGGCAGTGTCAGGGCCTTGGGCCTCTCAGTGGAGAGCTGCCATGGACGCAGAGATGAGGGGAAGCGGCCGCCAGGAACTCTAGCTCAAACTGCCTGTCCTTTAGGGCGTCACAGCCAAGGGCAGACAAATTATGGGGGGATGTTTTGTCCGGGAGTATACGGTACGATCGAACATGGCACCAAATTGAGCGAATGCATTTGTACAAATGATCACGGTATGAAGTGTGGTGCGGAGGCTTCAAGAGATGTTAAACTATCAATGTAGCAACAGAGATTGATGGGGCCATTGAAACAGCGAATACACACTGCCCCAATGACGATGACCTCTAGTTGCATACACGATGCAATGTAACACCTTGCCTTGAAACACACACACCTCACAAACACGAAATGCACAACGTCACAAAAGTTGTGAAGACATCAAAATGGATGCTTAATATGCACCAATGCTGCAGCTGAGGTTGATGGGGTCGTTGACACAGTGAAACACACTGCCCCAACGACGATGACAACCTCAACTGCTAACAAGATGCATACCAGCACCACACCTTGAAATAATCACAACCAACCAACTGACAAACACACAAGCACACATACCCACGCACGGACGATACACGCACACACACACATGCACTGACACACATATATATACACACGCATACATACAATGAGGAGAGAGCAAACAAGCATGACAAAGAGTCAGACACTAACACACACGCACACACTGACACACACACATGCAAACAAGCACAGATACAAACAGCCACCGGTGATAAACACCAACCATCACCAATGGAGTTCAGTTACCATTCATAAATCATCGCTAGCCTATCCCCTCTTTACCCTCCCTACACCCCTCCTTCCCTCCTTCCCTCATCTCCCTCCCACCCCCTCCCCCATCTCCCTTCTCCGCCAAACAAAATTCAAGAATGCAGCTCACACGCCCTGCACAAAGCAAAAACAGAGAATGTTCACACACTGTGTACAAAGAAGCACTAAAACATATAGTGTAACTTACGAAGAGGCCAAGCAGGAAATGCAACTCACCCGTAGAAAGCAAAAACAAAGAGTACACTTCACATCATTGCACATGAAAACAAAAACAGAAAACGCAGCTCACGCATGCACTAGAAACGAAATAAGAACAATAGAAAATGGTGTTGAAGAACGCATAGATCAATAAAAGACAGCAATTAGACTTTCACAACTCACGGTGCTAATTTGTAACAAGTCGTGGCACCACAGATACTACACCGGAATGATGCAATACCTTGCAGCTACCCTCGCGTTCAGCTTCTCAATCACATTTGCACTCAATCACACACGCACAAATACTCTCAACTTTATTAGACACTCACAGAAACAAACATTTAAATCTACACGCTCATTCTTGCACAAACCCAAACACTTATGATCGTTCTCATTCACAATAACACTCACACAAAAACTTACACGTGCATGCAAACACACTCGCACGCACCCTTGCAATAACACTCGCACTTGCTCTCGCACTCACTCTGGCACACACAGTGGCACGCACTCTCATCCTCGCGCGCACACCCTCTCATCCTGGCGCTTTCTCATGCGCTCTCTCACGCACTCTCTCACGCGCACTCTCACACGCACTCTTTCGCGCTCTCTCATGCGCACTCTCACGTGCACCCTCACGTGCTCTCCCACGTTCTCTCTCACGCGCACTCTCAGGCGCATTCTCACACGCTCACTCACACGCTCTCACGCTCTCTCACACGCACCCTCACGTGCTCTCTAACGCGCACTCTCACAAGTCTCCCATGCGTCTCCCACATGCACTCTCATGCGCACTCTTGTGCGCTCTCTCACGCACTTGCCCACGCGCCCTCTCAAGCGCTTGCGCACGTGCTCTCTCACGCGCTCTCCCACGCACTCTCTCACGTGCACTCTCACGCGCACTCTCAAGCGCACACTTTTGTGCTCTCTCACGCGCACTCTCGCGTGCACTCTCACTCACGCTCTCTCACGTTCTCTCTCACACGCACTCTCACGCGCTCTCTCACGCGCACTCTCACGCGCATTCTCACACGCTCTCTCTCACGCTCTCTCACACGCACTCTCACACGTACCCTCACGTGCTCTCTAACATGCACTCTCACGAGTCTCCCATGCGTCTCCCACATGCACTCTCACGCGCACTCTCGTGCGCTCTCTCACGCGCACTCTTGTGCGCTCTCTCACGCACTTGCGCATGCGCTCTCTCACACGCTTGCGCACGCGCTCTCTCACGCACTCTCTCACGAGCACTCTCACGCGCTCTCTCACGTTCACTCACACGCACTCTCACGCGCTCTCTCACGCGCACTCTCACGCGCATTCTCACATGCTCTCTCACACGCTCTCTCACATGCTCTCTCACACGCTCTCTCACATGCTCTCTCACGCTCTCACACGCACCCTCACGCGCTCTCTCACGCGCCCTCTCACGCACACTCTCACACGCACTCTCACACTCACTCTCACGCGCTCCCTCTCGCGCACTCTCACGCGCAATCTCACACGCTCTCTCACGCGCACTCTCACGTGCACCCTCACGTGCTCTCTAACGCGCACCCTCACAAGTCTCTCACGCGTCTCCCACGTGCACTCTCACGCGCCCTCTCACGCACTCTCACGCGCACTCTCACGCGCACCCTCGCGCGCACTCTCACGCGCATTCTCACACGCTCTCTCTCACGCTCTCTCACACGCACTCTCACACGCACCCTCACGTGCTCTCTAACATGCACTCTTACGAGTCTCCCATGCGTCTCCCACATGCACTCTCACGCGCACTCTCGTGCGCTCTCTCACGCGCACTCTTGTGCGCTCTCTCACGCACTTGCGCACGCGCTCTCTCACACGCTTGCGCACGCGCTCTCTCACGCACTCTCTCACGAGCACTCTCACGCGCTCTCTCACGTTCTCTCACACGCACTCTCACGCGCTCTCTCACGCGCACTCTCACGCGCATTCTCACATGCTCTCTCACACGCTCTCTCACATGCTCTCTCACGCTCTCACACGCACCCTCACGCGCTCTCTCACGCGCCCTCTCACGCACACTCTCACACGCACTCTCACACGCACTCTCACACTCACTCTCACGCGCTCCCTCTCGCGCACTCTCACGCGCAATCTCACACGCTCTCTCACGCGCACTCTCACGTGCACCCTCACGTGCTCTCTAACGCGCACCCTCACAAGTCTTTCACGCGTCTCCCACGTGCACTCTCACGCGCCCTCTCACGCACTCTCACGCGCACTCTCACGCGCACCCTCACGCGCACTCTCACGCGCATTCTCACACGCTCTCTCTCACGCTCTCTCACACGCACTCTCACACGCACCCTCACGTGCTCTCTAACATGCACTCTCACGAGTCTCCTATGCGTCTCCCACATGCACTCTCACGCGCACTCTCGTGCGCTCTCTCACGCGCACTCTTGTGCGCTCTCTCACGCACTTGCGCACGCGCTCTCTCACGCACTCTCTCACGAGCACTCTCACGCGCTCTCTCACGTTCTCTCACACGCACTCTCACGCGCTCTCTCACGCGCACTCTCACGCGCATTCTCACATGCTCTCTCACACGCTCTCTCACATGCTCTCTCACACGCTCTCTCACATGCTCTCTCACGCTCTCACACGCACCCTCACGCGCTCTCTCACGCGCCCTCTCACGCACACTCTCACACGCACTCTCACACGCACTCTCACACTCACTCTCACGCGCTCCCTCTCGCGCACTCTCACGCGCAATCTCACACGCTCTCTCACGCGCACTCTCACGTGCACCCTCACGTGCTCTCTAACGCGCACCCTCACAAGTCTCTCACGCGTCTCCCACGTGCACTCTCACGCGCCCTCTCACGCACTCTCACGCGCACTCTCACGCGCACTCTCACGCACACACTCACGCGCTCTCTCACGCGCTCTCGCACACGCTCTCTCCTGCGCTCTCTCACACCCACTCTCACACACACTCTCGTGTGCTCTCTCACGCGCTCTCTCACGCGCACACTCATGCGCACACTCACGTGCCCCTTCACGCGCTCTCTCACGCGCACTCTCACGCGCACCCTCACGCGCTCTCTCACGTTCTCTCTAACGAGCTCTCTCACGCGCACCCTCATACGCACTCTCACACGCTCCCTCACACGCATTCTCACACGCTCTCTCACACGATCTTTCACGCTCCCTAACGCGCACTCTCACGCGCACTCTCATGCGCTCTCTCACGCGCTCTCTCATGCACTTGCGCACGCGCTCCCTCACCCGCTCTCTCACGCGCCCCCTCACGCGCTCTCTCATGCGCACTCTCACGTGCTCTCTCACGCGCACTCTCACGTGCTCCCTCACGCGCTCTCTCACGCGCTATCTCACGCGCTCTCTCATGCGCACTCTCACGCGCACACTCATGTGCACTCTCACGCACACACTCACGCGCACTCTTACGCGCACACTCACGCGCTCTCTCACGCGCACACTCACGCACTCTCTCACGCGCTCTCTCCCCACTCTCTCACGCGCACTCACGCGCTCTCTCACGCGCAATCTCACTCGCTCTCTCACGCGCACTCTCACGCGCTCTCTCACGCGCACTCTCCTGCGCGTTCGCTCCCTTGCACACGCTCTCCCTCGCTCTTCGTCTCTCCCCTTCTTCAAATGAAAGTGCAATGCAAGAGGAGACCAATGACACACAAAATTTACGAAGGAGCAAAAATTAAGCCAGGAAATATCAGAGGCGGAAGGGTGGATGAAAGGACCGGGAACGCACCTGATAACAATGGTGCCTCAGAAAACAACCCGCGCTGGCGCACCAACCCGCGCTCGTGCACCAGCCCGCGCTCGCGCACCAACCCGCGCTCGCGCACCCACCCGCGCTCGCGCACCAACCCGCGTTCATGCACCAGCCCGCGCTCGCACACCAACCCGCACTCGCACACCAAGTCTCGCTTGCGCTCGTGCACCTGTCGCCGGAGGCGACGGCGGGGAGGGAAGGAGAGGCGATGGCGAGGAGGAGGGAGAGGCGACGGCGGGGAGGAGGGAGAGGCGGCGGCGGGGAGGAGGGAGAGGCGGCGGCGGGGAGGAGGGAGAGGCGACGGCGGGGAGGAGGGAGAGGCGACGGCGGGGAGGAGGGAGAGGCGACGGCGGGGAGGAGGGAGAGGGGACGGCGGGGAGGAGGGAGAGGCGACGGCGGGGAGGAGGGAGAGGCGACGGCGGGGAGGAGGGATACGCGACGGCGGGGAGGAGGGATACGCAACGGCGGGGAGGAGGGAAAGGCGACGGCGGGGAGGAGGGAGAGGCGACGGAGGGGAGGAGGGAGAGGCGACGGCGAGGAGGAGGGAGAGGCGACGGCGGGTAGGAAGGAGAGGCGACGGCGGGTGGGAGGCGACGGCGGGTGGAAGGGAGAGAGGACGGCGTGGTGGGAAAGAAAGGATGGCGGGGTGGAGGTAGAGATTATGACGAGGTGGGTGGTGGGAGAAAGAGGCAAGAGGTGGGTGGGTTTGTCACGTGAAAACACACGCACAAACACGTGACACTGAGTGGGCTGAAAACAACTCACTGTGAACCACACAAAATAGTGCAATGTTACAATACAAAGTATTATCTTTGAGAAAAGAGATCATTGTTCACTATACAAAACAAAAAACGATCAATGTGTCTAGATCTTAACGTATTAGAAACGTCAATTGTTAAGAATCATAAACATCCACGTTGAAATGAATAGATTGAACCATAAAAAACGCTTGCCATATTCCTTGAACGGTAGACCTAGATTTGACGATTTAAAAAACCGCGATTTGTTTTTGTCAACTAAGAATGTAACATCTACGCAACCCTTCCGACGTTAACGTCGAGTCTTGTTTATACCACGAACTGCTGCATATTTTCCCTAAATGTTTTCGCTTCAAAGGTGCAGCTTCCGAAGCGAACTCTGCTTCGGAGACCTCACCAGGAAGTACTTTGGAGATCGTCCGTTCAAGATGTCTGAACGGACGCACAAATGCACGATCGGTCTGCAGTTCGAGGTTCGGTTCGTTCGGTTCGAGGTGCAAGTGTAGGCACTTCCCCACCAACATTGCTAGATTTCTAGCGTACATGCAACAATCCAGGCCGCGACGACGCCGCAAATGCCGCCGCCAAAGCCAATAGCAATGCAGCCGCGAGCATGGATTGTATTCTCCGCCGCACTTTGGCTTGCTGCCTTCGTCTATCCATGCCATGCGCAACCATTCCAATCTGGAGTCGCGATGATCAACGCTACGCAAGGTACCTCCCTCCTCGTACAATGCGCAAGACATGTCGTACTAGGCCGCGCTGCCTGCCAATGAGGTCGGAGGCAGCCATCACTAGTACAGGAAATACCGCAGCAACCCCCCTGTTTGGCTATAGGTACTAACAGCGAGCAATCACCTCCCTCCTCGTAACCTCGCACTGTGTGGTAGTAGTAGCAACCAGCACGCGGTTTGCCGCCCCTGCCACAATGCGACTCAAATAGCACTGATCTCGTGCGGCACGGCACGAGTGCCACGTGCTCTACTCGCGACGATGCTGTTTCAAGGTGATGATGCTTTGAGGGCGGGGATGGGAGAGACCCATCGTCACAAGAGCCTTTCCTCGTTATCCATAGAAGCAGGCTCAGAAAGCAGGGGGCGTTCGGGCACAGCCTGTAGCAATAGCAAAGCTGATCCCCTGACACGTTTCCGGCACAGGCTGTAGCAGTAGCAAAGCTGATCCTCTGACACATTTCTGGCGCAGGTTGTAGAAGCAGCAAAGCTGATCCCCTGACACATTCTGGAGCAGGCTTTATATATCCATCAGTGTCAACGCAGGCCCGCAGGCTGCATCTGCTCTTCACTTTGTGCCATGAATGAGTCGGTGCAGTGTGGCCTAAGCAATGAGTCGGTGGAGTGCGGCCGTAGTGATGAGTCGGTGCAGCGCGGCCTTAGCGATGAGTCGGTGCAGCGCGGCCGTAGAGATGAGTCGGCGCAGCGCGGCCTGAGCGGTGCAGCGCGGCCGTAGAGATGAGTCAGCGCAGCGCGGCCTGAGCGGTGCAGCGCGGCCGTAGAGATGAGTCGGCGCAGCGCGGCCTGAGCGGTGCAGCGCGGCCGTAGTGATGAGTCGGTGCAGCGCGGCCTTTGCGAGCGATGAATTGGTGGTGCAGTACCGCGCTCACTCAAGCAGCTAGCAAGGGCATGACGGAAATCCAGTGAAGCCAAGGAGGGTCGCAGCACTGGGGTGGCACGTAGTAAGGGGCTCGAGAGTGGCTTCGTTGGTTCGATTCTAGGGCCTGCACTGCCTTCGCCAATCTGTCTCGCTGGTGACTGAGCGAGCTGGTGATTGAGCCCTGCCTTCTGACTGGCCCAGCTGGTGATTGAGCCTTGCCTTCTGACTAGCCCAGCTGGTGATTGAGCCCTGCCTTCTGACTGGCCCAGCTGGTGATTGAGCCCTGCCTTCTGACTGGCCCAGCTGGTGATTGAGCCCTGCCTTCTGACTGGACCAGCTGGTGATTGAGCCCTGCCTTCTGACTGGCCCAGCTGGTGATTGAGCCCTGCCTTCTGACTGGCCCAGCTGGTGATTGAGCCCTGCCTCCTGACTGGCCCAGTTGGTGATTGAGCCCTGCCTTCTGACTGGCCCAGCTGGTGACTGAGCCCTGCCTTCTGACTGGCCCAGCTGGTGATTGAGCCCTGCCTTCTGACTGGCCTAGCTGGTGATTGAGCCCTGCCTTCTGACTGGCCCAGCTGGTGATTGAGCCCTGCCTTCTGACTGGCCCAGCTGGTGACTGAGCCCTGCCTTCTGACTGGCCCAGCTGGTGATTGAGCCCTGCCTTCTGACTGGCCTAGCTGGTGATTGAGCCCTGCCTTCTGACTGGCCCAGCTGGTGATTGAGCCCTGCCTTCTGACTGGCCTAGCTGGTGATTGAGCCCTGCCTTCTGACTGGCCCAGCTGGTGATTGAGCCTTGCCTTCTGACTGGCCCAGCTGGTGATTGAGCCCTGCCTTCTGACTGGCCCAGCTGGTGACTGAGCCCTGCCTTCTGACTGGCCCAGCTGGTGATTGAGCCCTGCCTTCTGACTGGCCCAGCTGGTGATCGAGCCCTGCCTTCTGACTGGCCCAGCTGGTGATCCAGCATACTTATGCAAAAAGCAACTCCAACAGGAAGTAGACTCAACCACTATTAATAGTGTTTCTTGACATTCACACTCGGCTGTCAAATGGAAACCGTTGCTTGTCAATACCAATGACTATCCTATCCTTCCGCCAAGTTGTCTTCAATAATGCGAAGCTCTGTGTCGAGGCTTAGCACGCTGGCTTTGACCTCCTTCATCTCCTGCACTCGTGAATCCACCTTCACAGCCGCGCTCAGCTCCTCTTTCCCCACCCATTCCTCCCTGATGACCTGCAGCTCGTTGGCGACGTGTGCCATGCTCGGGCGGGCTGCAGTGCGCTCCACGGTGCAGGAGAGAGCGAGCTGAGCCACACACAGCACAGCATCTGTAGGGGCGTCCATGGTGGGATCCTTGAGGCTTCCCATGTCCCCCGAGGACATGCGCTCAAACGCCTGAGGGAGTGGAGCAGGTGGAGGGGTTGGGAGAAATCACAAGCAGAGTGAGGTGAGCAGACGCTACCTGACTACGGAGGTGTGGAACGAATTTCTTCGAGGCCATCGAGAAGACGCTAGCAAAGTTATTGAGTGGAAGCAGAATGGAACTTACCCATGGAGTCACCTGCAGGCCCTGAGAGGACCACTAGCAAAACCGGACGTGCGTAAGGTGTCCCACAACCAAACGCTGGGCAGCGGACGGGGGTGTTCCCTTGTGCTATTAAGATGACACAATCACAGAAAATAAGAACAGGCCGGTTTCATCAGTGATCGGGTGCTCTGCTTACCCATGTAGTGATCTGCTGACCGTCTCCATCAGTCCCTAAGAATGGTGGGCGTCCTGTGAGGATGACCAACATGAGCATTCCAAAGCTGAAAAGAAAATCACAGCACAGAGGCACAGGATGCAGAGGGAGAGGTGGAGACAGAGGCACTTTAGATGAATCTTGCCAGCTGAATGCATTGAGCACAGGTTCATGGACTCTAGACACATAGTAAATGAAGCTCACTTTCGTACCGCCTCTGCAAATGCCTCCCAAAGGTTTGCAATGATTCTAAGCGGCTGCAACGCTTTCTAAGCGCCTCCTGCGATGCTTTTTAGGAACCCCTGCAACAATCTAGCGGGACTACTCTCATGCTTTTCTTTTCAAGAGACTGGCAATGCTTTGAAGGTATCACTGCAATGCTTTTCAAGGGACAACTGCAATGACTAGGAGGGACTTCTGCAATGCTCTGTAAGGGACTACCACAAAGCTTTCCAATGGACTCCTGCAAGCTTTCCAAGGGTCTCCTGCCTCACCTGTACACATCACTGGCGGTCGTGGCCTTGGACGTGCGGGAGTAGGCCGGATCCACATAGCCCGGTGTGCCCATGATGCGTGTCGTACCCACACTCGTGCCCTCCCCCAGCCTCACCAGCCCAAAGTCTGCAATTTTTGCCTGGTCATTTTTATGAGAGTTGTTGTAGCATGCGAGATAAGGAACAGAGCACGATTTAAATCATATAGGTGTAAGCGTCTACATGACTCGGACACATACTAGCATAGCTTGACCGGAATTATCAAATTTGCGTCCACTATAAGGAAGCAACTCTGACACCAAAAGCTTGCCTGGATGCTATCGGTGATGAGGACATTTGCCTCCACCAAAAGGAAACCAGCCTGATCTATCGCAAGCAAGCTTATGTTGAACACAATGTTGCAAGTGAGAGAATTGATGCATTGAATAATGAGCCAAGAGGCTCTTTAGTACAAACAATGAGCAAGAGAGAGATGAGAGGGAAGCTTACTCTATTGGCCAATAAGTTGGCCAATGGGTGAGCTTGCTTGTGACCCAAGCAACCACAAATGTGTGTTGGTTGGGATTGGTTGAGCTAAGGACCAATCCCAACCAACCACAAAATGTGGTTGGAGGGTACACTAAGCAACCCCCCAATTGATAAAATGTGCTACACTTCTAGCCTATGTATGTTGTATAAAATATGAAATTACAACACAACCCCCCAACATGCATAAGGCTAGAAGGCTAGAATCAAGAGGCGGGAGGAGACTTAGGAGGAGTGAGGCCAAGAAGACGAAGTAGGAAAGAGTGAGCGGCGTGAGGAAGAGCTTTTGTGAAGATGTCGGCAAGGTTGGCCGCCGAGTCAACCTTGTCGAGGCGAAGGTGCCCCGCCTGAACAAGATCGCGAATGAAGAAATGACGGAGCTCAATGTGCTTGGAGCGCCCGTGAAACACAGCATCTTTGGTGAGGTGAATGGTACTAGCATTGTCACACCAAATTGTGGGACAGCGCTGGGGGGCACCAAGTTCCTCAAGAAGGAAGGTGAGCCAGCGGGCCTCTTGCGCAGCCATGGTGGCGGCATACAATTCCGCCTCGCAGGAGGAGAGGGCTGCAGCCGAGGAGCGGGTGGAGCGCCAGCTGATAAGGCCGCTGCCAAGAGAGAAGCCATAGCCCTGGGAGGAGCGACGATCTGGCCGGGAATCAGCCCAGGAGGAGTCACTGTAGCCGCTGAGGAGAGGTGGGGAGGGGCCGCCAAGGGTAAGGACATAGTCCTTGGTGCCACGAAGGTACCGGAGGACACGCTTGGCGGCCTGCCAGTGCTCTTCCGTATGCTTGCCTGCGCCAACAAAACTAGCGAGGACGCTGATGGGGTAGGCAAGGTCAGGGCGAGTGGAGACCATGGCGTACATGAGGGAGCCGATGAGCTCGGGATAAGGATTGGAGGAGGCTGAGGGGGAGGTGGGTTGAGAGAGGTGGTGCCCGACCGAAAGAGGAGTAGGTTGGGCGCCACCGCGGACCATGTCAAACCGCTCCAAGACCTGCTGCAAGTAATGACCCTGGGAGAGAGAAATGGTGCGGGCGGAGCGGTCGCGGGTGATGGTCATGCCCAGGTTATGCTGCAGCTCTCCCAAGTCCTTGCACTTGAGTCGGCTACCCAACTCAGCCTTAACACGTTCCAACTCAGCAAGGTCGGCGGTGAGTAGAATCATGTCATCGACATATACAAGGATGTAGAAGGGGGAGGGGGAGGTGCGGAGGAAGAGGCTGGCGTCGGAGCGGGAGGTGCGAAACCCAAGTTCACCAAGGGTGGCGGCAAGCTTAGCATGCCACTCTCTAGGGGCCTGTCGGAGCCCATACACAGGTCGACGCAACTGCCAGACAGAGTCTGCTGGGAAGGGAAGGTGAAAGCCGGCTGGACGCTCCATGTAGATAAGCTCGCGGAGGACGCCTTGTAGGAAGGCGTTAGAAACGTCCATCGAGTGGATCTCCATATTGAGGCGAGCGGCGAGGTCGAGCACGGCGCGAACAGTAGCAGGCTTGGCAGTAGGGGAGAAGGTATCGAAGAAGTCAAAACCATACCGCTGCGTGAACCCCTTGGCGCAGTAACGAGCCTTATAGACGGGCGGCTCCCCTGGCAGCTGCTTGACGCGAAACACCCACTTTCCTTTCACCACGTTCGTAGGGGCGGGAGGGCGAGGCACATCGACAAAAGAGGAGTTGCCGATAAAGGCCTCCAGCTCCTTGATGATGGCGGCGAGCCATAGCGGAGCGTCAGGGCACGCCATTGCCTCCTCGTACGTGGTAGGAACGAAAATAGAGGGAGCAGAGGAGAAGGCGAAGACAGGTGTGCCGGAGAGATCGAACGTGATGGGTAGAAGCAAGGAGTCATAAAGGTGGAGGTCAAGGAACTCCTCATGGGAGTCCTCAGAGAGGGAGGTGTGGAAGGCGCGGATGACTGCTGGTGCCGCTGCTGGTGCTGCTGGTGGAGGCGTTGCCGGTGCCGGTGCTGGTACTGCTGCTGGTGCCGCTGCTGGTACTGCTGCTGGTGCCGCTGCTGGTGCCGCTGCTGGTGCCGCTGCTGGTCCTGTTACTGGTGCCGATGCCGCTCCCGCTGCTGCTGCCGCTGCTGGTCCTGCTGCTGCTGCGGCTGCTGGCGCTGCTGCTGCTGCTGGAGCCGCTGTTGGAGAGGAGGTGGCTGAGGGGGCTGTTGCATGAGGGGCTTGATGCAGGACAGCCTGGAAGAAGTGACGAAGGAGGGGGGAGAGAGGGGGGAGGGTAGAGGTAGAGAGGGTAACGGGAGGCGGTGCACCAAGGATACCGTCACGTGACCTGGTGTGGGGATACCGGGTGAGTATGGTGCGGGAAGGCGGAGGAGTGGTTAGTGGCGAGGGAGAGGAAGGGGGGGGGGGAGGGGTACTAGGAGAGGAGTGAGCGGGGGAGACAGGGGAAGACAGAGGTTCCGGGTCAAAGATGTCACCGGAAGAGGGAGGGGCACCATGGGACTGGGACGGCGGAGAAGGGGGGGGTGGGAGGATGGGGGGAGGAGGGAGTAGTGGGGGAGGGGTGGTGTCAGACCAGACAAGGGGACGGGTGAGAGGGGGGAGTGGGTCAGTAGATGTGGTAGAGGAGTAGTAGGGAGTGGACTCGTCAAAGACCACATCCCTGCTGCGGATTAGACGACCGGATGGGGGGTGGAGGAAAAGGTAGTCGGGGGAGGAGGGATTATGACCAAGGAAGATGCAAGGAAGGGTACAAGGGGCAAGCTTTCCCATGGAACGGGAGCGGTCAGAGGGGTGAATGAGGACATGTGCCTTAGAGCCCCAGACACGAAGTGAGGAGGCATCAGGCTTGTCCTTCGTCCACAGCTCAGTGGGGGTGATGGAGGGGACAAGTGGGTGAGGGTAAAGGTTAGTAAGGAGGGCGGCATGAAGGAGGGCGTAGCCCCAAAGAGAAGGGGGGCAGGAGGCGTGAACAAGCAGACACCGGGCTGTTTTGGTGATCTCTCGAACACGACTCTCAGCCACGCCGTTCTGTTGTGGGGAGTGAGGGAGGGTGTAAGTCTGAAGGATGCCATGAGACTGACAATAGGAGGAGACTTGGTTGTTAAGAAACTCACCACCTCCATCAGAGTGAAGGCGGCGAACAGGGCGTCCAAAATGGGTGTTTGCCCGCTCGAGCCAGGCGATGATCGCTGCCGGGGCATCCGCCTTCGTTCGAAGGAGAGAGACGGATGAGTACCGACTGTGATCATCAACAAGCACGAGAAGGTAGCGATGGCCCTGGCGAGTGGGAGAGGGATTAGGGCCCCATAGGTCCATGTGAACAAGATCAAGTGGCTGCGCAGCAGCGGAGGGGGAGCTCCGGTGCGGCTGCTGCTTGAGCTTGCTCTGAACGCAGACGGTGCAGGGGGGTGCAGGGGATTTGGGGAGGGGAGGGAGGGAGGAGGGGAGACCGTGGAGGAGACCGGAGGAGACAGAGGAGCGCAGAGTAGCGAAGTTGGGGTGGCCTAGCCTGTGATGGAGGAGGATGGTGGGGTGGGAGAGGGAGCGACAGGAACAGTCAGAGTCAGGAGGGCGGGGGGGGAGGGGTGGGTTAGTGGGAGGAAGGGGAGGGGGGGGGGGGAAGGAGGGGGGGGGAGGCAACTTGGAAGGTGAGGGGGCGGGGAACCCGAAGGGTGTACAGACGGGAGCGAGGACAATAGGGAATACGGGCGAGAAAACGACCTGTGGAGGTTTGGTATAGGTCACAATGGTTAGCACCACCTGGGATGAGAGTGGTGATCATGGCTTGTTGGAGGGACCTTTGGGAGAGGAGGTTAGTACGAAGGGAGGGAATGTGGAGACCGGTGACAGTACCTGAGGGAAAGAGAGGACAGGGAAGGGTGGAGGTGTTGTGACAGGGGATGGAAAAACTGCTATCAGCGCCGAGGAGGGAGGTTGGTGTGGGGAGAGGGCGCAGTGTACCAGCGTCGCGAAGGACAGTGTCAGTGGCTCCACTGTCCAGAACGAAGTCAATGGTGGAAGAAGGTGAGACAGAGTACTGGAACGAAGTTTCATTAGCAGAAGAAGGGTACATGGGAGATGCAACAGATTCAGGTTGACCTAATAAACCAACAAAACCAGAGGAAGGGAAAGCGGTCACACTGCCACCTGCAGACGGCGCCGGGGATGCACCCGAGAGATGGGCTGCAGAGGCAGCACTCCCAGCAGTCCAGGTAGGAAAGTGCTGTTGCTGGGAAACCGGAGGAGGAGGGAGGAGGGGCAGTTGCGGCTGGAGGTCGAGCTGCTGCTGGAGATGCTGGAGCTGCTGCTGGAGCTGAGAGAGGAGAAGCTGCTGCCCATACTGCTGTGACCCCTGCTGCTGATTCCCAAGCAACTGCTGCTGCTGTTGCTGCTGCTGGTGCTGCTGCTGGGGAGGGGCGAGGGCCTGGTGAGCGTGGGTGGAGGAGGGAGGTTCATAGAGGGGAGAGGAACGGACCTCAAGGGGAGTGGGGCGAGGGTTGAGGGCGGACCAGCGAGGAGGGGTGCCGGTGTTGCCACGGGCAAACCACTCATCACTGAGTGCCTTGAAGCACGTCTCAGTGGCATGGGTAGTTTGGCCGCAGCGCTGTCCCTGAGTGGGACCGTAGCGAGGCAGATACTGACAGGGAGGAAAGGCAGCTGCCGTACCACGACCCGCACCACTGCTGCCAGCACCACCGCGACCTACTGATCCCCCTCGTCCACCCCCACGCGCACCACCACGCCCACCCCCACGCCCACCGCCACGGCCACCCCGGCTGCTGCGCGACTGGGCTGCTGCGGCTGTGGAGGAAGAGTGGCGAAGGATCTCAGCTTCGGTGGTGATAATCCACTGAGCGACTTCGGCAGGGGTGTGGTGCTTGGAGATAAGCTGCATGTAAGCAAGCTTGTGAGCGTCGAAGGCAGGTGTGAGGCCCTCGAGGAGGTGGCAGCAGATGACGGTGTCCGGGTACACCACATCGAGTGCTGCAAGGCGCCGAGAAAGGTCTAAGACACGGCGAGTGAAAGCAGCTGCGCCAGAAGTGGAATCCATGGAGAGAGTTCCAAACTCCTGGATAAGGGCGTAAAGAGTGGCAACGTCCTGCCGATCGAAAAGGTCGACCAGCAGTCGCCACAGGTGGGAGGAGGTAGGTGAGAGCTCGCGTTTGAGGGAGGAGGGGATGGTGGCGAGAAGAATGGCAAGCGCACGTCGATCAGCAACCCGCCAGGCAGTAATTTTCGTGGTGTAGTCTGCAAGTTCTGCAGTGTAGGTGTCCAGGTCCTCCTGGTACTTGTTGTAGCGGGCAGCGGCGTCGTCATAGATGCGCCTGTCATCCTCGTAACGCAGTTGCAGGCGCAGGTGCTCTTGGAGATTGGTGCGGTAGGTGCGAATGGCGGTTTCCGAGCTCTACGGGTCGTTCACATTCGGCGCAAAGGCGGGAGGATCACCGGGGGGAGAGGGCTCGGCGCCAGGGTGGGCAGGGGCAGGTCCAGTAGGAGCGGTGGGGGCCGCGGGCTGAAGTCCACCGCCTTCCTGAAAGACAACCGAGCGAAGGTTGTAGCCGCTGACCACAACAGAGGAGAGGAGCACCTCGACGGAATGAGCATAAGAGTGCCAATTAGCAGCGGAGTTGTCAGGCAGCAACTCGAGTGCATCAACAGTGGCAAGGTCGACGGAAGAATCGGACGACGATGCCATAGAGGTGAGGGTGGGTCGAGGCTAGGGCAGGAGGAGGATGGTGTGAGGGTACCGTTGCCAGTGCTGCTGCTGGCCCTGCTGCCCGTGCCGCTGCTGGTTCTGCAGCTGGTGCCGCTGCGGATGCTGCTGCGGGTAGGATGGGAGGAGGAGGAAGGGAGGAGCGGAGGGTGAGGAAGGTGGAGGAGGAGGAGGGCGATGCTATGGGGGATGCAAGGGGGAAGGGTGCTGCTGGTGGTGCCGCTGCAGGTGCTGCTGCTGGTGCTGCTGCAGGTAGGATGGGAGGAGGAGGACGGTGGATGAGGAGGGCGATGCTATGGGGGAGGCAAGGGGGAAGGGTGCTGCTGGTGGTGCCGCTGCTGGTGCTGCTGCTGGTAGGATGGGAGGAGGAAGGGAGGAGCGGAGGGTGGGTTGGGTGGAGGAGAAGGAGGGCGATGCTATGGGGGAGGGGCAGATCTGGGCGCGCGGAGGGCAGATCTGGGCGCGCGGAGGGCAGATCTGGGCGCGCGGAGGGCAGATCTGGGCGCGCGGAGGCCAGATCTGGGCGCGCGGAGGGCTGATCTGGGCGCGCGGAGGGCAGATCTGGGCGCGTGGAGGGCGGATCTGGGCGGGCGGAGTGCAGATCTGGGTGCGGGAGGAGGAGATTTGGTGGCGCGGAATCCAGATCTGGGCGCGGAATGATCAGATCTAGGCGCGGGAGGAGTAGATCTGGTCGCTGGAGGTGCAGATCTGGGCGCTGGAGGTGCAGATCTGGGCGCTGGAGTTGCAGATCTGGGCGCTGGAGGTGCAGATCTGGGCGTTGGAGGTGCAGATCTGGGCGCTGGAGGTGCAGATCTGGGCGCTGGAGGAGGAGATCTGGTGGCGCGGAATCCAGATCTGGGCGCGGAATGATTAGATCTAGGCGCGGGAGGAGTAGATCTGGTCGCTGGAGGTGCAGATCTGGGCGCTGGAGGTGCAGATCTGGGCGCTGGAGTTGCAGATCTGGGCGCTGGAGGTGCAGATCTGGGCGCTGGAGGTGCAGATCTGGGCGCTGGAGTTGCAGATCTGGGCGTTGGAGGTGCAGATCTGGGCGCTGGAGGTGCAGATCTGGGCGCTGGAGGTGCAGATCTGGGCGCTGGAGGTGCAGATCTGGGCGCTGGAGTTGCAGATCTGGGCGTGCCTTGGAGGGCAGCGCCTTAGGGGGCGCACGGGGAGGGAGGACAGCGCCTAAAGGGCGCGTGAAGGGAGGGCAGCTCCGTGGGTGGGGCTAGATCTGAGGAACGGGGAGGAGAGGGTGGCCTAAGGACCGAGGGAGGAAGGCGTGAGCCATTAGCTCATGATACCATGTTGCAAGTGAGAGAATTGATGCATTGAATAATGAGCCAAGAGGCTCTTTAGTACAAACAATGAGCAAGAGAGAGATGAGAGGGAAGCTTACTCTATTGGCCAATAAGTTGGCCAATGGGTGAGCTTGCTTGTGACCCAAGCAACCACAAATGTGTGTTGGTTGGGATTGGTTGAGCTAAGGACCAATCCCAACCAACCACAAAATGTGGTTGGAGGGTACACTAAGCAACCCCCCAATTGATAAAATGTGCTACACTTCTAGCCTATGTATGTTGTATAAAATATGAAATTACAACACACAATGACACTTTATGTTGAAAGAAATGTTTGTGGCAAACCAAATCCAAATGTGTTCAAGTCGCCTTAGGTAAGTGTTAGTTTGGGTTCGCGGCAAACACGTTTGCATTTGCCTTTTGCTCATGTCTACTTTGCTGTACCTTCAGAATTTGGTCACATGATCATAAGCTACTTTATCCAGACTCAAATGCATAGGCAAATAAATGCATAGACCAGTTTCCAACATTTTCCATGGTGTGTGCACCCACCATGGAAATCAGATTGACATCAAAACAATCCACCACAACCAATCTTGCCTGCATGTTCTCGGTGATGAGGACGTTGGCAGGCTTGATGTCGCGATGCACGATGCCAAAGCTGTGGAGGTACTCCAAGCCCCTTGCCATGCCAATTAAAATGTCCAGCCGCTGCTTCAGAGTCAGAGGGCGTTCGGCATCTGCAAGGAGTCAGTGCGAGCAAATGAGAGGAAGGGCATAGGTGGCAGATGATAAGTGCCAGAAGGTAAGTGGCAGAGGAGGAGTGGCGTTCTGCCTCTGCAATGAATAAGTGGCAGACAAGGATTGGCAGAGGTGAGTGGCATCAGATGAGTGGCAGATCAAGAGTGGCCGAGGGCAGGCTACATCTCAAGGATGCATAGTACAGCATGTGTGTGGCACAGCATAAGACTGGCAAGTTGCTTCAGAGTCAAGGTCACGCTAAACGATACAAGTGACACAGCAAATGAGTGGCACAGCGATGGATGGCACAGCATATGATTGGCACAGCATGAGTGGCAGAGCACGAATATCAAGAGTAACATTGGAGAGGCACACGTACTTTGACCGATCCATTTGTTAAGATCGCCATTGGGAACGTATTCATAGATGAGAACTTGCTCTGGCTGTGTCCTCAAGTCTCCTCCGATCGCAAAGCCAAGGAGCTTCACAACGTTGGGATGGTTTTTGTCGGCCATCTGCTGGATCTGATCCACACAGCCAGAAAGAAAGGGCAGACAACAAAGAAAACAGATTGCAAAGGAGAGCTCCGAACACATAGCCGAACAACCTCGACAAATTAAGGAACTGGTTTGCAATTTCATGCCTGCAAAGGCTTGTGAGAAAAGGCTTTGTTTGCGCCACCACGGCTCACTGACCTCCTTCTGAAAGCCCACGTCGATCATCTTGGCGCGCTTCACAGCCCACACGGTGGTGCCATCGCGGGGAGACACGCCCTTGTACACATCGCCAAAGGCACCCGAGCCCAGCTGGTTGCCGGGGGACCAGTCATTAGTGGCCTTGAGGACCTCAGCCAGCGAGAACTCCGTGCAGTGCGAGGTTGCCAGGCTGCTGGTCGGGCCTGCTTGTAGTGTTAGGGAATGATAAAAGGAGGTGGATGGGTGCAGGGAAGTATGCTTGAACACGATTCGATCAAGTTGCCAAGGCGAGTTGAGTCAGGTCGAGTCGGGTCGGCTTCAGTCAAATCATCATGTGCTGAGTAGAGTCGGGTCAGACCCGTGACTTGCCCCAACTTGTTTCGTGAATTGTGGTTGAGTCCCAGCATAGCGTGTATGTCATTTTATGGGTCATGAAATTGACGACCCAATATGTACTCGTGGGGTTATGCAGAGTGGGCGCTGAGAGACTCTACGAATTCGCAGTTCCAAAACTTGACATCTTAAAACCATTTGTTGCCTCAACACCTTGTCGCACTTAAATCCCTAAATGATGTAGCCCAGCTTTACGTCCCTCAGGGTACATCCAGTTTTTTCAAAAAGTATAGAGCATGTAAGCTTGTAACTGAAGCAAATTCGTGTGGCAAGTCAATCTTGCCCATTCCAAGCCAGGAGATTTAAGTAGCTGATCATGACTAGGCTTGCACACTAGCATGCTCGTGTCGCAGTTCATGCAGTGAAAAACTTACTCTTCACATATTGTTATGATTGCAAACAGCTGCACACAACTGCATCGACAGAGTGCAGCTGTACCTTTTCTGGAGAGTACTTTTGGTTGAATTGTTTCCGTACCTATTGGCTTCGGCTGTAACTTGTGCCTGAAGTAAACCAGAGTGGCGACAAGAAGCAGAAGAATCACCACAGCGGCAACAACAATGCCAATGATGACTCCCACTGACACTCCACCCCCACCGCCTGCTGACGAAGATTCGCTGCTGCTGCTGCTGATGCTGCTACCGCTGCTGCTGCTGCCGCTGCTGCTGCTGCTGCTGCCGCCGCTGCTGATTTCTGCAAATGACATGACCATAGATCCACATGCACAATGGGGATTGCTGCAAGCTGATCACTAGAGTTACCATGTGAGGGGTACGTTTTTAAAGCATGCCTTGCGGCGTGCAATGCCATGCATTCCCATGTGTTGCCATGCATTCCCATGTGTTGCCATGCATTCCCATCTGCCATGCGTCGCTTGCTGTACCAAGTTTAGATTTCTAGATCAAATTTCCCTGGAACAATAATCTCAACAAATCATGACGTCGTGTCTCGTTGCGTTTCACTCTAAAATCATACCTGGCTGGTGTTTATTTACTCGCCTGCAGATCGGTTGCTGCAAGAATTGCAGAAGGGTTCACATATGCGGCAAAAGGGTGTGGTAGCAGATTGTGTGATGCCACAGGTGGAGTTGACAGGTGGGCATGTGAGGTTGGTGCCAGAGATGTTGCTGCAGTGGAAAGGGGAGATAAAAAAGCATTCATTTCAAGCTCAACCTGTATTGGCTAATTAGTCATGAACGTGGGAACGGTATAGGGATGGTGACTAGGAGGGGCATGGAGACATTGCCAGTACCACGGCATTTGATCAGCCTCTCTCACTCTGCCTCCCAGTTCATTTCGGATCCGGTACTTGCTCAAGCCTTATCAAAAGTTTCAGGTCCGATTCGGGTTCAGTGCTTGCTGAAGAGTACTCACAAGTAACAAGTTTGGTTGGGTCTGGTACTTGCTCAAGCCTACTCACAAGTACTTCAATCTTGTGAGGCCTCCAATCTCAGCTGGAATCTCCCCGCTGAGGTTATTATCAAAGAGGTTTCTGGTCAAATGAATTGGGCGGAAAGTGTGGGAGTAAGCCCTGTTAGCCTCGTGCATGCAGCAATGCAGCAACATGCATCCACCCATCCATTCAAAGGCATGCATCCTCCCATCCACATGAAGGCATGCATCTAGGCATGATCATCCTGCCCCGGCGGGTCGGGCCGACCCGACCCGACCCGGGTTTTGACCCGGGTCGGGTCAGGCATTTTGAAGCGTTGACCCGGGTGAGTCGGGTCGGGTTTACCCGGCCGGGTCGGGCCGACCCGACACCCGAAACCGGGTCGGGTCGGGTCGGGTCAGTTTTTGACCCGAAATTTGACCCGACTCGAAATCGGGTACCGCGCCCTAAGTCGGGTCGGGCATTTGGCCCGACCCGAGTTTCCCTCCCACGACAATTCGAACTAAAGCAGATCGCGAAGTCAATGTCTAGGGTTTTTTTGTTCCCTCGACATTGACTTCGATCTGCTATACCTAGGCAGCTAGCAATAGCTCGTTCTCAAGCTCTAAAACTCTCTAAACCAGCGCCCATGTTTAGGAACCCTATTTGAAGTGTTTCAATGTTGGCGGAATGGACTTCTTAGCCTAGCGCGACCAACCACAGATTTTCGATTTTATAGACTTAGTTATTCCTAGCTCTCACACGCGTCTAAACTCTGGCCCCGCGTTCAAATCGCCCACTGCGCGCCTACCACGCCCACATCTTTAGGGACGCGACCCCCAATTGTCTAGGCCTGCGCCATTACAAAAACGTCGCGACTCCAAGGTCCGAAACGTAATCGACGCCGCTTGCACGCGAATGGAGGGGGAAGAAGACAGCTCACGCGCTATTCCTGGGGCTTCGCTTGGAGGCCTCCCGACTAGGCATGATCATTAGGCCCGACCCGACCCGACCCGACCCGACCCGACCCGACTTGGGCGGGCCAGCCGGGTTCCGGGTCGGGTCGGGTCGGGTCGAAACTTCAAAAAATCCTGGCCCGACCCGGGTATCGGGTGCCGGGTCAGGCGTGACCCGCCCCCAGGTCGGGTCGGGTAGGGGCCGGGTCGGGTCGGGTCGGGCCAGGACCCCATATGCAGGGTAAGAGGTTCCTAAGTTGGAAAAAACGCTAGTTTCAAGTTGCGTATTGAGTTTATACGCATCTAGAATTCGTACGCTGCGGATTTTCTAAAATTCGCCAAATCTGGCTCGGGCTGACCGGAAAAAAAAAAGATGAGTTTGCGATCTGGCCAACTCAAATTTGAGTCTCGAAATTCAGATCTGAGTTCGCGCGTTGCTAAAGCAACTTCAGATCTGAATTTCGAGATTGTTGGTGGATCATTCCCTCTTATCCACCGCTCACAACCCACCTTCACCCCATCCAATTCGTTGCCAACTTCTACCAGACTCACTCAATGTCAGGCCGCTTTTCCCTTCAATAATCTTTGCGTTCGATTTCTTCCTCTTCACTTTGACGATGACCTACTACAGCAGCAGATAGGTAATGGATTACTACAGCAGCTCCGGTCTAGGGTTTAGACATTGACTTCGCGATCTGCTTTAGTGCAACTTGTCGAGGGAATGTCAATGTCGAGGGAACAAGCAAACACTAGACATTGACTTTGCGATCTGCTTTAGTGCAACCTGTCGAGGGAGGAAAAGTCGGGTTGGGCCAAGTACTCGACCCGACTTAGGGCGCGGTACCCGAAACCAGGTCGGGTACGACTTCGGGTCTAAATCTGACCCGACCCGACCCGACCCGACCCGGTTTCGGGTGTCGGGTCGACCCAACCCGACCGGGTAAACCCGACCCGACCCGGCCGGGTCAGCGCTTCAAAATGCCTGACCCGACCCGCCGGGGCAGGATGATCATGCCTACTCCCGACACCGGCCTCCAGGGCCAGTTTTCGCTTGGGGAGCGTCTTCAATGGGCAGGAAATTGGGTGGGACGATGCAATCGCGACGAGGAGGCGTGAAGAGGTGCGGGAATGGGAGTCTCAAGGACCTGGCCCAGTGACGGAGGAGCAAGGAACACGGGGAAAGGAGAAGGACCCGGATTGGAGGCCGGCTCCGGGGGAGGCGGCCGACACGAGTGGAGGATCGGGTGATGAGGGTTGGGGAGGGAGAGGAGGGGGCCAGGCTGGTGGCAGTGGCGCGCGTGGCAGCGGTGCAGCAGCAAAGAGGCCACGCACGAGTGGGCCTGTGGGGTCGGGAGCTGGAGGGGCCGGGCCGGCGTCGAATTCGCAGCCGCAGGGGGCAGCCGCGGGTGGTTCTGAGGGGTCGGGCGCAGCAGGGGCAGGTACCTCCGCCGCTGCGGCAGGTGGTGCACCTTTGGGTGGGTCTGCGGGGGCTGGAGCAAGCCAGAGGTCCGACAGGGCGGGCAGGACCCCTACCGACAAGGAGCTGGACCCATGGACTGAGGAGGTGCTTAGGAATGCAGAACCCGGGCTGGTTCGTGGCATGTTCAGTGAGAAGGATGTGAAAGAGGCTAGGAATTGCAAGATTTGCAAGAAGAAGATTAGCTGGAAAGGTAGTTGCACGAGCACGGGGAAGAGACACCTCAAGAGGAGCCACTACCCCAGTCTGCAGATCTGGTGTCGGCGTTTCAAGGATCCAAACAAGCCAGACAACCTGACGTTTCCCGATGGGGGATGGGGTCCGGATGTCCCCGACCAGACAGCGTGGCCTTGGGAGCATGCAGCCACGTGGCCCAGGATTGTACAGACACCAGACAGCGCAGTGACTGGCGGATCCGAGGCTGGTGGGAGTAGGCAGATGAGCATGGCCGCATTCGTCACGCCGCGTGTTCATGGCCAGCAGTTGCGTGAGGGATTGGTGCAGCTATTTGCGGCAGCTGACCTTCCGTTTCGACTTGTTGAGTGTCGCGAGGTGAGTGACGCCGTTCTCTTGCCGTTGGTCATGTTCATCTTCGTATTGAGATGGTCATATTACTGCAGGGCAGCCGCACTGCATTCTGTTGGCTAATCCCGAAGCATCTTCATAATCTTTTTACCGACATCCTTTGACTCCTGCGTTACAGTTCAAAGCATTTGTCCAGATGCTGAACCCGGGAGCTGCGCTACAGCTCGGCTCACGCCATCGCTTGGCACGGGACATGCAGGCATACGGGGAGGCTGTGACTCATACCAGTCATCCATCAGCAAGGAGACTAAGAAGGCGTGGGACGCCATCAGGTTGACGGATGCGCACTAGGACGACCTCGCCAAGCTCCGAGACTTCCTCACCCCATTCGAGCAAGTCACCCTCTTCGCCGAGGGTTCCCTGTACCCTACCCTCTCAGCCGTTGTACCGCAGTACAACGCGCTGATTGATCTGCAGGAGAAGGCACGACTCACTCCTGGCATCTCCCCTCTGCGCTCATCGCTGATCACTGCTGCTCTGAGCAAGCTGGAGCGGCACATGGGGGGTGTGAGCGAGGAGGCAGCGATAGCCACTTTCTTGGACCCGCGCCAGAAGCTCGCACCCTTCAAGCACCGAGCCAGGGCAGCAGAGGGGAATTCGAGAGGGGCAACACTGGAGCTAGGACCTGATAGGGTGAAGGCCCTGGTACGGGCGCGCCTCCCAGAGTACTAGGCAGCCAGCACCACGGCGCTAGGAGATGGTGGGGAGGTGACTAGTGCGAGGGGTGCAGGGGTGCATGCATCGGCAGGGGGTGGGGATGTGGATGCATCGGCAAATCCAGTCTCAGTTGTTCGCTGCGTGGGACGCCATGGAGGCCGAAGAGGGGGAGGATCCACAGGATGAGGTGGATCAGTACCTCGCAGAGGGGAGGCAGAGGGGTGGAAGCGCATTGGAGTATTGGCGCAGCAGGGAGACACTGAAGGGCTTGAGGGCGATGGCTAAAGATTATCTGGGGGTACCGGCTTCGTCAGCAGCGAGTGAGCGCGCATTCTCACAAAGCAGGAACATCATTACTTGGCAGCGACACCGACTGGCAGCTGGCCAAGTGCGTGCTTCCATGCTGATTAAGACGTGGCAGGACCACCACCCTTCGGGGACTCTCGCTCCCAAGGGCACCTCAACGGCCAATCCCACCCTGGGAGTGGAGGATGAATCGAGGGGGTTGTGATATTTGTTCGTAATTGATGCTTATGCCCTTAACTTCATCAGATAACGTGATCGGACCAAAACTTGATTGGTTCTTATTCCTGTGCGTCGAACTACTAGTTGACTCCGTTAGCTTTTAGGCCTTTGTAGGATTTTTCCAAACACGTGTAATAGTTTACGCAACTTTGAATAGCTAATTTACATAAGGGAGGACGTTCATATAATAATATATTACACAAACATTCAATCTTTGCAACACTGGACAGTAGTGAGGAAACCCCTACACACTACATATGGGGTTCTGGCCCGACCCGACCCGACCCGGCCCCTACCCGACCCGACCCGCCTGACCCGGCACCCGATACCCGGCTCGGGCCAGGATTCCTAGAAGTGCCGACCCGACCCGGAACCCGGCTGGCCCGCCCAAGTCGGGTCGGGTCGGGTCGGGTCGGGCCTAATGATCATGCCTACATGCATCCATCCGTTCAGTTCAGTGCTGCACGCATGAGATGGGGGAACCTGGCAGTTCCGATGTGTGCATCTATCTCGAGAGAATATAGATGGCAGGTTGGTACAATTGGATGGGAAAACTGCCTGAAAAGCAAACATGCACGGCAGCAACTATAAGGTGCAGTGCACCATTGAAATTGGCACAGAACATCCCAGCATGCTCTGGAATCGCAACTGAGATGACAAGACTGTGGAATGTCACACAGCGATTATGAAAGTGAGTTGATGCGCAAGCGCAGTGCAGGCTTGGCACACGAGAGAGCAGTACAAGCTTGGCATATGAGAGCGCCATGCAGCCTTGGGGTGGCACATAAAACAATGATTTTAGCGAGCCTCGTACAGGTAAGTGAGGCCATCAAGGAAGGCGAAGTTGGTGAACATGGGGCCACTCAGGGCATTGGATGAGAGATCCCTGTGCATTGTGTGTTGTGGGTTGTGGGTTGACGGAAATGTAGGATTGCAAGTAGCAGGCATGGCAGGCAAGTCGGGAAGCACATGCAACCGGCCCAAGGGAGTGTGATGGGTCAAGATCTCTACTGTTGGGAAGCCTTGTTGTGAGCTTAGAGACGAAAGAGCATCATTGGACTGGGAGCAAAGGAAGAATCATAAGTAGATGAAAGTAGGGAGGGTGGAGGGGGGAGGAAAGGGAGGTGGAAAGAGCTGCGGAATAATCGGGCTAAGTGGAGGGAGCATGGTGGCTGAGAGGAGAATAAGTCTGGGAAGGGACATACGGATGGATGGCCGCACAGCACAAAAGGCAAGTGGAAGATGATGAAACAAATGTGGGATGGAGGAAAATTTCCAGTTAAAAAAACTCATTCAAATCTGTAATGTTTTGATTCGGACCCCCCAGGGTTCTGGTTGCAGGCAAGTGGGCATGAATGCTGCTCCAGAGCAAGGGGTGAGTTTTGAGATTGTACAAATGTGGCAACGCAGTGACATTAATGAAGAACAGCTGCTTATTTGGTTCTCCCTGTGCTGTCAACAAGCCAATGGTAGCTGGGATAGCCTGGTACTGGAGTCATGAATCATGATACTTACAAGTTCACCAAATTGATCAAGCGGCTGAGAGTGGATGGAATAGATCCAACCAAGCGATTCCTTTCTATATACCTGGTAGACATGAAAAGTAGCCCATGCAAGACGAAGGAGAGGGAGGAGCTCACGGACAGGAAAAGAGCATGACAACCCTAAGGCTGGCTGGTCATTTGCTTCAGTAAAGTTCCTATCAATGCTTTAACTGAATAGAAGCAATCATCAATCACATCAGAGTTTACAGAGAATGTCACAAGCAACCCTTTGCGAAAATAAACGAACTTTTAACCCTAGACTCTCGTTTGAAATGGGAGAGGGTACATAGAGACGTGATGTGAGGAAAGACGGGGTCTCTAAGCAAAGGAACCGAAAGTTTGAATGTAGGCTAACAACATTAAAATTGGATTTCTGAACTTCCATTTTCCACCCTGCTAAATATACGCGGCAAGTTTTACCAAGCTCGTAGAGTTGAAAAACACTCGCGAGTGCTTAAAATAATTGACCATCCGAACGGTTTGACGAAACATTTTAACTTAGCGACTTTAACTCGAGCCGGCTCAGCCGAGTTTTTTCTGTAAGGAACACCCTCAAACGAAACTCGCCTGAAACGAGTATGAAAACACGAGCCGGATCGGCTCGAATGCCCTTGTCGGCCATGTCACTGAGAATAATCTCTCATGGGTCTCAGAGTTGATGTGACCTTTGATTATGTTTAGGTTTATACAAGGTTCCACGTACAGATTAGCAAGCTGCACGAGCACAGAGATGCCGTTGGGAATGGAGCCGGTCAAGTTGTTGTTTGTAAGAGACCTGTGTATGAGTGGTTTCGGTTGGTGAATGAAATGAGGAGATGACAATATTGGGCATGGACTGAGGGACAGCACACACACACCATCGATCTAACCAGAGTATGAGACCTGGGATGTACTGTTGCAGTTTTCCGGGTTTATGGGACGTTTGCTCATGTTCGTGCATAAACGAGGTGCCTCATACAGCCAAGTGAGCTGAGAAAGGTCGGAGATCCTGTCAGGAATGGAGCCCTTCAAATTGTTGTTTGAGAGAGACCTGTGTGTGTTTGGTGTGGGTTGGGGTGGAAGAAGTGAGGAGATGAGGATAATGGGTATGAAACGAGGTAGACATGAGCAAATTCTAAAACGCTTGTTCGGTTCCTTACCCAAACAACATATTAACCCTGAACACATCCGTAAAGTATCAACAACGCATCTTGTACAGCCATACCATATACAGACAATTCTTGACTGAATATGAAACGTGCACATACACATTTTGTGATGAGTGTAGATCTGCATATTTATACTTGATCCAAATCCGCCAGTATTCGTCATTCATATCAGGATTCGCATAATATTCAAAAAACACTTTTCGTAGTTGTTGTGGAAGCAAGAATGTCCCAGTGGGTACCTTTGGTCTTAGTGGTCGCGGGTTCAACTCTCATCGGCAGCACCTTCTCTTCTCATTATGCCGAACATGACACTCCCACACTCCACCACACTCACCCACAGTGAAGTGTGGTCACAGTTGGCATTGCCATCTGTCCACCCATCCCATACTCACCTTGTTGGCTCCTATGGTGTGCCACATGCTGCCATGTAGGCTGTTGTTCCAGCCTGGCCCACATGTGCAACATGTGGCCTCAATTGCTAGCTTGGCAAGGTTGGCTAGCCCTGCCCTCAGCTTTGAGGTGCTGCAGCTAGCCTCAAGAGTTCAGCCACATAAATGTGGCTTCCCACTTCTCTAGAACTTATCCTTGGAAAGGACATTGCTCTAGCCTTTCAGGCTTGTACCATCTTCCTACTAAGGATATATTGTTCTTCTCTCATTGTGCCTCAAGTTCACCGATCCTCATTCTACATGCTATCAGAGCAAGGCTTCTAGCTTAGTGAACGTTGCACACTTCATGGCTCAAGTTGAAACGCCTCTCGGTCGGCACACCCTTCCCATCTTGGAACCAGATGGTTCCAACTTCATTCCATGGAAGAAAAAGATCTGCTACATCTTCAATGTCCTCGGGCTGATCTCCCTCCTTGGAGATCCCAAGGTTGCTTCGCGTCCTTCAATCTCCTCTTCCACAACCAGCGGTGGAGAGACTACCGAAGGCAACAGCGGTGCAGCCCCTAAGACAGCCCATTCGATTGCTTCGCTGCCGGATGAAGAAAAAGAGGAGCATGCATACTATCTTCTCATGTCAGCCGTCCATCCTCAACTATCGCTCACTCTTGCTCAAGCCAACACGACAAAGGATATGTGGGGATGCATCATGGCGCGGTTCGACTGCATGGGCAACCATGCACAAGTGGCTCTCCTCCGGGATCTCATCACTACACGGATGGACCCAACAACAAGTCTTCGCTCCTACTTTGATCGAGTTGGAAACCTTACACACCAACTCAAATCTGCCGGCTTTGAGCTACCATCATGGGTGGTGGTAATCTCCATCATCCTCAACCTTCCGGACTCGTTCAAGACCCTTACTGAAACCATTTGCACCGTGAAAGACATAAAGTCTATGACGGTTGAATACCTACAGTCACGCCTACTCGATGCCGATTGGGAGCGGTCACAATCTGGTACAAGCCGTAACATGGAGGGTGCATACAACCTCAATTCCCAGCCCTCCCACCCTCTTCGCTCCGGTTCACGCCAGTCGCCCACCTGCCGTTACTGCAAGAAAACAGGTCACACCATCGATGAATGCTTCAAATTGAAGAAGAAAGAGCTTGAAGAAAGCTCTAAACGGGAGAAATCCGTCTTCCAACCCTCGGTGCATGTCTCCACCAGCTCCTCTGCTGAAGCTACTCCGACCCCCACACCACCTCCTGCCCCATCAACCCCTCAGTCCGTACCTGATTCCCGGTACGTGGACATTGCTGTCAGCACCAGCCACCACCCCATCTTCTCCACATGGACTCCTCTCGTCGCTGCTGTCTTCATTCTCACCATCCTCCTTCTCCTCCTCCTCTTCCCTTATGGGGCTCCCTACGCATCGGCATTCACGGCCTCCTCATTCAATATGGAGCGGACTTCGTCGTGGCTGGTGGACAGCGGCGCATCCTCCCATATCTGCTCGGATCGTTCGCTGTTTTCGTCTCTCAAGAAGCCCAACGAAGAGATCCTTGTTCGTTTTGGTGGAGGAGAGACTTACAAGGTCTTGGGAGTCGGCACGGTGGTGGCTACTCTTCGGTCACCAACATCGGAAACCACCATTCAGCTTGACAACGTTCTATTTCTCCCTTCATCAGTTCACAACCTGCTCTCTGTTCGTGCGCTTGGTGCTGCCGGCGTTGCCGTCTCGTTACCCGCTGCTGGGCGCGTTGTTCTCACATCTGATGACGTTCCTATTGGCGAGGGCTACACCCGCAACAATCTGTTTTATCTTCAACTGCATCATGGGAGCAGTGCTGCTCCTTCTATCAAGCCAACTGCATGTCCAGCCTCCACCACCACCTCCTCGTACCTCTGGCATCGTCGTTTCGGGCATCTCAACATGCAGGCCTTGTCAACACTTCATCGGCAGCAGCTGGTCACCGGTCTTCACCTCTCCTCCACCTCGATTCCCCCCTGCATCTCGTGCTATCGTGGGAAACAAACACGTCAGCCATTTGGCGTGTCCCATTCTCGCACCACAGCCCCACTCCAACTCATTCACTCAGATATTGCTGGACCGCTTTCATATGGAACTACCATTGGCGGCGCTCGCTACCTTCTCACCTTCATCGACGACTACTCCCGCCACATTACAGTGTATCTCCTACGCCACCGGTCGGAGGCACTTTCATGCTTCAAGGCTTACGTCACTCGGGTGCACAACATGCATTCCCCACACACCATCAAAACCTTTCGCTCTGACGGTGCCTTGGAGTTCACTTCCAAAGCCTTCACTTCATTCCTCACAGCTCATGGCATCGCCCGCCACCTCTCCACGCCATACACACCTGAGCAAAATGGAGTAGCTGAGCGGGCCAACCGGACTTTACTTGAGATGGTCCGTTCCATGCTCCATGATGCACACATGGACAAAGGCTGGTGGGGTGAAGCCGCTCTTACTGCTGCCTATCTTCGTAATCATGCCATTAGTCGGGGTGGTTCAACTTCTAAGACTCCCATGGAACTATGGACCGGTGCACGTCCGGATGTATCACACCTCCGCATCTTCGGTTCACCCGTCTCGGTCCTCATTCCTTCCCAACGGCGTTCTAAGCTCGACGACCGAAGCACGGCCGGCATCATGGTTGGATATGGTCATCTCGACGGCACCAAAGCTTACCGCATCTATATCCCATCTCAGCACCATGTCATCCTTTCTCGTGATGTCATCTTCATGGAGCCCTCTGCACCGCCTTCCGACGACTCTCGCGACCCTCCATCGTCATCTCCACCCACATCCTCCTCACTACCTCCTCCTACACACCCTTCTTCCTTGGACCCAATCTCCCCTCCCTCTCCTTCCCCCACCATACCTTCCTCCACCAACCCCCACCCACAATCCCCAAACCTGCCCGCACCAGCCACATCTTCTCCTCCTCCATTGTTTTCCAACCTTCCTCTGCCCTCGACGCCGCAAGACTTTCACCTTCCATCCTTCTCTCCTCCCTCTTCGCCTCCCCCTCCCCATTGCACGACTCGCTCCTCCCCGCCATCCCCTTCAGCTCTTCCCGATCCTTCCCTTTTCTCCTTCCTCAAGGTCTTACCATCCCCTTCCGAACCCATTGACTTCACTCTTCCTCCTCTTTCCAACACCTCTGCCAATGCTGCCCTTCACCATCATTACGAACCTCAAACCATTCATGAGGCTCGTACCGGCCCTGATGCTGCCGAATGGATCAAGGCTGCTGATGCGGAACTCGCTGCCCTGCACGCTAATGACACCTACAGCATTGTTCCTCGACCACCCAAGTGCAAGCCGATTCCATGCAAATGGATTTTCAAGGTCAAGGAGAACGCTGATGGTTCTATTGAACGCCGCAAAGCCCGCCTTGTTGTCAAAGGCTTCAAGCAACGTGATGGTGTTGATTTTCATGACACCTTTGCTCCTACCGTCCGCTTCGCCACCCTCCGCTTGTTTCTCACCATAGCTGCCGCTTTCAACCTGGACGTCCATCAGCTGGACATCTCCAACGCCTTCCTCAACGGCACCCTTGATGAGATTCTCTACATGATGCAGCCTCCCGGTTATGACCTTCCGGCGGTCCATGGTGTTGAGCAAGTTTGTCTCTTGCACAAACCGCTGTACGGGTTGAAGCAAGCTACGCGATGCTGGTACCGCAAGCTTCGTGAGGAGCTTGCTGCCTTTCACCTCTTTGCTGCTCGTGCGGACCCCGGCCTCTTCATTGCTCCTCCTCACTCACCTTATCGGCCTACAGCTGCATCCTTCTTCATGCTTCTCGTCTATGTTGACGACCTCATCATTCTCTCCTCCTCCTCCTCTCTTCTTGCCTCATTCAAGCATGCCCTTTCATCTCGCTTCAAACTTCGTGACCTCGGACCTCTCTCCTACTACCTTGGCTTTCACATCACTCGTGATCGAACTTCCCGCACTCTCCACCTTCATCAATCCAAATTCATCACCTCCATTCTAGACACCTACTCCTTCTCTCCACTGAACCCCGCTGCCACTCCCATGGACACAAAGTTTCAGCCACCCGTGACTTCCTCCCCGCACTCCTCCTCCTTCCCTTACACCTCGTTTGTCGGCTCCATCATGTATGCCATGGTGGGGACCCGTCCCGACCTCGCATATAGCGCTGGAGTTCTTGCTCGTCACCTTCACGATTGGTCTACTCCTCACGTCTCGGCTGCCAAACGCATTGCTCGCTACTTGAAAGGGACTACCTCCCTTGGGCTTCTCCTTGGTGGCATTCCCGACACCCTCGAACTTCATGGCTGGTGTGACGCCTCTTGGGGACCGGAGGGGGAGCTGCGTCGCTCTGTTACGTGCTACTTGTTCTTCCTCGGTCCGTCACTCATCTCTTGGCAGTCCAAACGCCAAGCCGTCGTTGCTACCTCTTCATGTGAAGCTGAATATTAGTCTCTGGGCGCCGCGGTGCACGAGGCATTATGGCTTCGTTCGCTCCTTACTGCAGTTGGACTTCCCCCTACCGGCCCCACCCGTATCTCGTGTGACAACAACAGTGCCATCATTCTCGCCAAGGACGATGGCGTCTTTCATCCCAAGGCCAAGCACATCGACATCAAGCACCATTTCATTCGCGATCATGTTGCCGACCACTCCATCACCCTTCACTATGTTCCTACTCAAGACAACCTCGCTGACATTGGGACCAAGCCTTTGCCCCGTGACCCTTTTCTTCGCATCCATGGTCTTCTCGGTCTCACCCATGTTTCCTCTTGAGGCACCCTACCCCGGGGACATCCTTGAGGGGGGGTGTTGTGGAAGCAAGAATGTCCCAGTGGGTACCTTTGGTCTTAGTGGTCGCGGGTTCAACTCTCATCGGCAGCACCTTCTCTTCTCATTATGCCGAACATAACACTCCCACACTCCACCACACTCACCCACAGTGAAGTGTGGTCACAGTTGGCATTGCCATCTGTCCACCCATCCCATACTCACCTTGTTGGCTCCTATGGTGTGCCACATGCTGCCATGTAGGCTGTTGTTCCAGCCTGGCCCACATGTGCAACATGTGGCCTCAATTGCTAGCTTGGCAAGGTTGGCTAGCCCTGCCCTCAGCTTTGAGGTGCTGCAGCTAGCCTCAAGAGTTCAGCCACATAAATGTGGCTTCCCACTTCTCTAGAACTTATCCTTGGAAAGGACATTGCTCTAGCCTTTCAGGCTTGTACCATCTTCCTACTAAGGATATATTGTTCTTCTCTCATTGTGCCTCAAGTTCACCGATCCTCATTCTACAGTAGTGGTTTCGGTATTCGCCTTTACAGGCTAAGGTACAGTCCGGTCGACCTGATCCCGGTAAGTCACCCAACCCGGGCTTATAGGGCCAGGCCACCTGTGACATGAGAGCCGGACTAGTCGACCTGATGGTGACTCGCTTCGAGCAGATCCTAAGGCTGATAAAATGCACAGCGGAACATAGAAAGTGCCGATCCATATGCCTGATAAAGAATGACCAACAGCACGAGGTGCTTCATACAGATAAGCGAGCTGAGAAAATGTGAATATGTCGCTGGGAATGGCGCCCGTCAACCTGTTGTTTGAAAGAGACCTGTATGTGCGTGGAGTGAGCGACAGCAAGCACACAAGAACGACCCAATTGGGGGATGGGACGAACATGCTGGGAGACATGTAGGCTGAGCACCTGGTCGGGAAGGTTCAGCCCGGGTCGAACCTGGACCTGGCCGGCTCCGTGGCCCTATTCAACCAGTACAAGGGCGGGACAAGAAATGTGACAAAACTTTTCCAGGCCGACCCGGGCCGAGTCCAGCCCGGGGTATCACCACAAACACGTGAAATTGAGTTCTCTAGTTTTCGTAACCTTAGAATGTCATCCCTATGTACTAAGCTTCAAGCTATCTTACACAAAAAAGGAAAAGGCATAGTTGCTTGCTTCTAGTTTTATAATCCTTACAAAAAGAAAAGGCATAGTTGCTTGCTTCTGAACGCCTCATATCAGAAGTTCTGAAGGGTTGATTGAAACTAATTTGACAATTTGACCATTGACGAACTCTCAGATCTGAAATTGGTTAGTCCACCGGTTGGAGATTCTAAATTTGGTGCGGTGAAGTTTGGTTGGGAGACAGAAATTGGTCGGGACTTTTTTGTTGGCGAATTGTTGGGGTGCGGGGTAGGCAATTTAGCTTCGACGTGCTAAGAATTGCATCAAAATCAGACTTTGAGACCACAAGAAGTCCAATCCCGTAAGCCTAAATAGGCCCTCGCGTCAAGTGACGCGCTCTGAGCGGGCCCAACTGGGCCATTTCGGCCCACGTCGGGCCGCAGCGCATTGCGAGCCGGTTCGGCCCGGTTCTTCACCAGAAACAGGATCATGTTCAACTATAAATGCCAGAAACGGTTCGAGTGGCAAACCCAGTCCGATGAACTTCTGGTTCTCGTCAAACCTGGGCTGGGAGGGGGGGGACCATGAAGGGACATTCAGCCTGGATTGGGTGCCTATGGAATGGCCATATACGTATTGACTACCCAAGACTCCTTGTTTTCTAGCTTGGTTGTGGCATCTCTTGCGAGTTATAGAGTTCGTGTGAACTTTGATGCATGCGTAGTAGCAGCATCAAGCTTGAGCGAAGTGCTTCATACAGATAAGATAGCCGAGAAAGTCCGTATAATTCACCGGGAATGGAGCCCGACAAAGTGTTGTATGAAAGAGACCTGTGTGTGCGTGGTATGGGTTGGGGCGGAATACGCGAGGAGATGAGAAGCGAGGGCATGGACTGAGAGACGGCAAGTACACACAGTCGACCCAATTGCAGGATGAGACGAGCATGGTGGGTGGTAGGATGAGCAAAAGGCAAATTCAAACTAGTTGGACTTGAACTCACTCGAACGTTTGTATCACCTGAACCGAAGGCCTTCAGTTTGGGTTGAACTAATTTTGCAGAAGTAGACAATTCGAGTGTTCGACTAGACGATTCGTCGTAGGTACATTCAATTTCGCACATCCCGTGCTTTCCACTCGAACTCGATTTAGCACAACCCTTGCTTCCCACTCGAATTCAATCTTGCGCAACCCTTCCCTCCTCAACATACATTCCGTGCAACTAACATTTCTTCCTCACGTCACCTTCCCCACCCGATCCCCCACTAGGCTTGAGCAAGCGGTCGAACACCTGTTAGGTTCACCTCAAACATATTCGTGTTGACTGAACATGTGTGATTCGGTTTGTCAAGGGTCGACATTGGCTGCGACGAACACAAATGTGTTCGTCACGGATGTTCCGCAACCAAAGATTGTAGGTCAATGGGACACTTTGATCTTCGTAGTTTTTAGCTTGATCTTAGTCGATTTCCCTTCCTAGAGCCTAGCCTACCACCAGCAGCGTTTTAAATACGTCTATTCTAGTTAAACAAAGCTGCACACACACATACTCCAGACTCAACCTAGGCAAGGAAGGCAGTTTAGGAAAAGGCATAGTCTAGGAAAAGGTCCAGCGGAAACCACAATACTATCATTGCAGGGCCAGCCCACATTCAAGCCATCGTCCCTTACCTCATTTTTCAAATATCTCACAGATCACGGTCTTGGTCCTGCTGATTTTCACGAAATTGCTTAAAACACTAGCTGATACGTGTAAAGGGAGCCTAGCAAGGAAAAGAAGTACGGTCTCAAGTAAACTACGGTCTGTTCTAAACGGTCGTTTTTTACTGTCATGTAAATTATAAGAACGATTGTTTTATATACATAAATGCTAGCCATTTCTTAAATGTTGTCCTTCGTGGCCATACTTGAATGTATTCGTTAGTGAACAATGTCTGATTTCGAACAAAAGCGACCTTTCTCTTTTTTTTTTTTTATGGTCGTAAAACAGACCGTATTTTACGGAAATTGTGTTCTTTACATTGAGCAGACGCAAGTAAAAAGTATCGCGCTTCGGTTCGGGGCAGAGGGTTTCTTGTTCAACTCTAATTACCCAAACCGTTTCGACTTGCACACCCAGTTTGACAGTTTGACGAATTTGTGATTCTCGCCAAATCTGGTTGTGAGGGATAGGGCCAGGAAGAGTTGTGGGATTGCCTGGCGATTGGGTGGCAATATGCGTTCTGATTTCCCGAAAGTCCTTGTTTTCTTTCTTGGCTGTGGCGTCTAAATATCTGACCAACGATACTCCCTCGAGTGTTTTGAGGGTCATGTGACTTCTTATCATGCATGCTTAGTAGCAGCAGACTCGAACAAGGAGCTTCATACAGATAAGTGAGCTGAGAAAGATAGGAAATGGGACTTGCAATGGATCCGGTCAAAGCATTCTTTGAAAGAGACCTGCGTGTGCATGGTATGGGTTGGGGCGGGAATTTGTGAGGAGACGAGATTAGCGGGCATGGACCAAATGATAGAAATTGGGGGATGAGACCAACATTGTGGGAATAGAGATAAGCAAAGGAGCTCAGTCGTAAAATCACACTAAGGAGGGCATCCTGGCCCATACTCTAGCTGATCGGTCCATTCCCACAGTTAGAGGTCCATAGGTTAGCAATAAATGTAAAGCTTAGGGTTAAATTAGGGTAGGTAATGGCTACAAACGAGGTTTAGTTTAGAGGTATTTCTGTTTCCCAGTGAGTTTTACTCATCGAAATTAGAGACCCACAAAAAAAGCATCAAGCCCTAATATTGCTCGTGTAGGGCCATAGTGAACATCAAGCTACCCGCAAGCGTCAAGATTCTCACACGTCTCTGTTCGAGCTCGGGTCAAACTCCTAAGTGTTCGGCCATGCCTCAGAACAGTTTGACCCTATACTTGAACTGTCGAACACTACCTTCACATCCGATTGTTCGACTTCGGTTCGACTTGACCAAGTGCTTGAAACTGTCCTAGTCGAGCGTGTTCAAGTTCGCTTGTTGCTCATGTCTAGGTGGAGGTAGGCATGAGAAACTGAATCAAAGTTCAGTTCGAGGCAAACGGTTCAAGACCCACACCCAGTTTGATGACTTGTGGCTATCGTCAAACCTGAGCTGGGCCAGGGCTGGGGAGGGGGAAGGCCATATAGAGGAGTTGCAGGATATTCAGCCTGGCTTGGCTGGCACACGCAAGGCCATATAAATGTTGATTACCCGAAACTCTTGTTTTCTTGCTTGCATCTGCCATGTAGGTTATGTGATTGAAGAGATAGTCCCTTAAGGGTTTTACACTTCAAAATGCCAATTTCAATCGAATAAAAAGTAAAGATGAAGTGTCTTGATTGTAGATGTATAGCACCGAGCTGAAACGATGTGCATCATACAGATACATGAGCTGAGAAAGCTCGGAGATGCTGTTGGAATTAAAGCCCTTTCAAAATATTGTTTGAAAAAGGAGGGCACGAAAAAGGTCGAGGCTTTAAGAGCGCATGTAGGTCCTTGGTCATGCATGCTTCGTACCAGGCTTAAACAAGGTGCTCCATACAGGTAAGAGAGCTGAGACAGGAAGTAAATGTTGCTGGAAATGGGGCCCGTTAAAGCGTTGTATGAAAGAGACCTGTGTGTCCATGGTATGGGTTGGGCGGAATAAGTGAGATGAGAATTCTCGGCATGGACGGAGGTGTCAGCAAGCACACACAGTCGACCCAATTTGGGGATGAGACGAGGCGAACTTGAACTGCTTTGTCTCTAAGTCACTCGAACATTTGTATTACCCAAACCTATGTGGGCATATACGCTCTGGACAGCGAGCGTCCAGCGTATATGCGCTAGCGTCTGTACGCTGGACGCTAGACGCTTGTCGGACGCTGGACGCTCGGCCAAAAAAAAATCGGGCAGCCCGGGGAAAAAAAATTGACCGTCGAAATTTGAAATCGCGATTTCGGAGCTGGATCTCAACGCCAAAACAGAACCAGATCCATCACAATTTCAGAGGCCACCGCACTTCACCCTTCTTATCTAGCCAACCCAACCCCCCCGTCACGTTCCTAAATAGTCGAGCATCACTTGCAGACTCAATTCCTTCCTCACAATGGCGTTCATTTCTAGCATCTCTCAACTTCTCCAGCAAGCTTCCATGGCGGAACCTAGGGATGAGCAAGGTGTTCGAGGCGAACCGAACAGGTTTTGTTTTTTAGCTCAAATCGTTCGCCGAACAGTGTTCGATGTTCGCCCGAACACGTTCGTGTTCGGGCCGCTGCTGAAATTTGCCCGCGACGAACATGAACAGTGTTCGAGGTTCGCCCGAACACGCCTCCACAGGCGAACAGCGAACACCCGTTTTTTCCTAAACTGTTCGCCGAACAGAACAGTGTTCGGTTCGGCAAAAGAGGGTGTTCGACAAGGGGCGAAGACGAACATGTTCGTGTTCGCCCTTTGCTCATCCCTAGCGGAACCTAGTATCTCGAATGCTGCTGGTGCTCCCAACTCAGTCCCTGCAGGGCTCGTTTAGCGCTGGTCGTGTGTACGAAGATGATGAAGTTAAGCACCCTACGTTTAAACACTATCGCACATTTACGAAGGCGGGCGTGAAGGGAAAGCAAGTGGAGTGCCGGTTCTGCAAGCACACTTTCGCCCACAGCCATAGCCGTTGCGCTAGTCACCTTGCGGAGTGGCCGTGTCAGGGACGGCGCGTGGTG